GCGGAGCCGGGAGCAGGCACAGAGCATCGCTGCATCCCGAGGGAAGCAGGAACCCACCGCGCAGCCCCGGGCCGCGGAGCCGGGAGCAGGCACAGAGCATCGCTGCATCCCGAGGGATGCAGGAACCCACCGCGCAGCCCCGGGCCGCGGAGCCGGGAGCAGGCACAGAGCATCGCTGCATCCCGAGGGATGCAGGAACCCACCACGCAGCCCTGGGCCGCGGAGCTGGGAGCAGGCACAGAGCATCGCTGCATCCCGAGGGATGCAGGAACCCACTGCGCAGCCCCGGGCTGCGGAGCCGGGAGCAGCCGGCCTGGCTGGCAGAAGGACGCCGCCGGCGAGGCACGGCCTCCTGCGCGCTCCCGGGGCGCTGTTATTTTAAGCCGCAAAGGTTTTTCACCCCGCAGCGGATGTTAACATTTGCAGGGGTTAAGGAAGCGAGCGGTACCGTCACCGCGAGGGCAGAGGGAGGGCAGGAGCCTCTGCCAGGCCGTGCCGAGACAGTCACCCCGCAAATCTCCTGTTCCCCAGGCGGGGCTGTCTCTCCCCGGGCAGCACAGCTTTCTGGAGGTCTTCTCAATCCCTACTCAGGGTCAGCTTTGAGTCCTAAAGAGGTGCGGGCCCTGTGCCGCTGCTCACAAGGATGCGTTCACTCTGGTCCCTACTGATGGCTGACTGCATGCATGCTTTACTGCAGACAGGCAGCAAAAGGACGGCAGACGCGGGGTGGGCTGTGCCTGAGGGTCACTGTGGGCCACTGTAAAGCCATCCCTGAAGCTTTTGGCTCCTGGCACGGGGGAGGTGGAAGGGGAGAGGGTGACACAGGCAGAGCCCCAACAAGGCTAACAGGGCTTGGAGAGGACATCAGGCTGGGCTGGCCACGGGCAGGCTGTGAAGCCCTCTGCTCCCACCTCAGGTCTACCCTCAGCCCCACACCTACCTCCCGGCGCGTGGAACGGATCAGGACCTTGAGGGTCCGGCCGATGTCCTTCTCGAGCTCCGCTTCTGCGACGCCCTGCACGGGGGGAGGAAGCACCGCGGGTGATGCCAACCCTCCCCAGGGACCCGACCCACCCTGGGGCCGGATCCTGCCACCCATCGGGGCTCGGGCGGAGGCTGGGGGTGGTTTTTTGCAGACTTCAGCACGGGAACAAGGTCTGGCAGGGGGACCACAAGCCATTTGCAGCTGGGGTGACAGCCAGAGCCCCACTGCGTGGCACCCCGGCTATGGGGCAGAGGATGCCCAGCCATGAGCTGGGGACCCCGACGTGGGCACGTCCCCATACTCGGCGGGGGTTTAAGCCCCAAAAGAGGGGTGGAGGATAAAAATTGTGGTCTCGGACTCACCGGCTCCTGGAAGTAGAATTGGTAATCAAAGGCGGGATAGGTTTTCATCTTCTCCACGATGTCCACAGCGGGGTCGGCGGGTCGGTACGGGGTGTTCAGCGAGGCCACGGCTCTGGGACGTCATGGGGAAGGCAGAGTCAGCATCGCACCCGGATTTGGGGTGCCCCGTGCGAGCTGGGGCTTTGCTGTAAGGACAGGAGAGGAGCCCGGGGTGCCCCATCCCCCTGGGAGGGACCCGGTGGGGGAGGTACGGCCAGTCCCCAAGGACCCACCTCACCCTCTCGGGGTAGAACAGAGCCATGTTCCAGACCACGGCACCGCCCCAGTCGTGGCCGACCAGCACGGCTTGCGGGATGCCCTGTGGGGAGGGGGGCCGTGAGCCCGTGCCCCCACAGCCGCACCCCAAAAGCAGCGCCTGAAAGGCAATTTGCCTCCCCCCGAAGCAGCGAAGAGATCAGAAAACAGCAATATTTTCCCTTTTTTTTCCCCTTTTTGTTTTTTTTCCTTTTTTTTTCCCCAAGGAACAAGCGTTACCTGATCGCCCGGAGCAATTTGCTCCAACTTAATTAAACATTCCAAGTGCCTGCGCCCTCCGGGGGGAAAAGGGGTTCGATATTATCCGCCGAAAACATGTCTGGAGGCTGCTCGTCCCCTGGGATCACCCGTACGGGTGTCCCCCCCCGCACCGCTGCCATCGCTGGAGTGACAGCACGGGGAACGTCTCGGTATTGGCGCGGCCGAATAAATCCCCAGCCCCTCTGGGAAGGGCTTTGCAGCCTCCCCCAGGGCCGGCCGGGTCCTGCCCGGAGCTGGGCATGCCAAGCTCACTGTCCCCCCCCCCTGCTCCATTCCTTTTTCCTGACCCCTCTGGGCACCTACAAATAAATCCAATTAAAACCCGCGCTCCTGACAATGTAGCAGCCGATTCATAATTAGCTGATATTTAGAAGCGTAATTAAAATTCCCCCACGGGGGATGCGGCTCGGGGCCGGCTGCATGCCGGCGAGTCCTGCTCGCTGCCATCCGACGGCGTGAAACCCAGCGTCTGAGAGCCCCCAAGGGGGGGCAGAGGGTTTGTGGAGGCTCCCGGCACCTCCCACCTCCAACGTGGTGCTG